TGATCTATATTGGAAAATGACCTGCGTACATCTAAAAAGAATGCGTATTCTGATTTTGTAGAGTAGAACACTCTGTAAACATTAGTTAAGTCCATTTGTTCAAGAGTTTGGCTGAATTCTAGTATTTTGTTATTTTTGTCTAGTTGATCTATCTGTTTGTGACAGTGGGATGTTGAAGTCCCCCACTACTATTGTATTAGTGCTTATTTAATTTTCCATGTCCATTAGTATTTGTTTTATATAGTTGGGCACACTAATGTTTGGTGTATATATTTATGATTGTCATCTCTTCCTCTTGGATTGTTCCCTTTACAAGGATGTAGTGACCTTTTTTGTTTTTCCTAATTAATGTTGGTTTGAAATCCATTTTATTTGCAAATAGGATAGCTACTTCTCCTTTCTTGGGGTTCCTGTCAGATGGAGTATTGTTTTCCACCTTTTAACTTTCAGTTTATGAGTTTATATTGAATTAAGTGTGCTTCTTACATGCAGCATGTTGTTGGATCTTGCTTTTTAACCCATTATTCTAGTCTATTTCTTTTGATCGGTCCATTGAGACCATTAACATTGGTGGTTATAATTGGTATGTATTGACTTACCCTTGTCATGACTTTTTCCCATGGTTGGATTTGCCCCCTTTGCATTTAAATTCTTGTCTTGTCTCATGGATTCATTCTTCTGGGCTTCATGGGGTTGTCACCCTCATTGTCCTTTCCTAGGACATTGTTTAAATTTTTTTTGAGTGCTGGTTTGGTATTCATGAAGTTCCTCAGGTGATAGGCCAGGAACATATTAACACCCACCAAGGGAAAATACAGTCAGCTGATACAAACTCTACCATAACCCAGATGCACCAAAGATGAGAAAGACTTTAAAGCATGTCTTACTGTGATAATCTGTGAAGTAAGGACAAACATTCTTGAAGTGACATATTCTCAGCAAAGTCATAGTATGTTTCTGATTTAGTGAAGATTAAGGAATTGTTTTATAAGACAAAATACAAAAGCATACACATACTTGATCAACTATGATCAAGGAACAAATAATTTCGTATATGCTTTACTCCATCTAGCTCTGTATCCTCTACTGGAACAGAAAAGGTAGATGGTCAGGTGGAAACTCTATGGAACAGACAAGATAAGCATTGAAAACTGGCTGGAACAAGTCATGTTGCTGCCCAAGGCAGGCAATCTTCTCCATCAATGCATCAAGGTTAACATACCAATTAAAGCAATGCAAAGTTTACAAGATTCAACAGCTTTCAATAATTTCAGAAAACTATGCCCCTAGGTAATTAAAAATAAGACATAATTTTGTTTTATGCATAAGTATTGCTAACAAAGCAATATATTATGCTTTACAAGTAGATGTCCCTTTAACTCCTCATGTAACCATAAGCACCTTTGGAAGGTGACTGGATTATAGGGATTTATAGCTGACTTGCTGTTAGCAGGTGAGGCTGGGTTGGAAGAGATGGGTTACTGTGAATGTCACCTGGAAGGTTGTGTTCCTTTACTGGCTCCTCCATTTATATTCTACTTCCTGGCCACCATGAGGTGAGCAGCTTTCCTCTGCCATGCCCCTCTGCCATTTTGTCCTGCTTTGGAGCCAGCAGACTCCATGGACCTCTACAAACTGTGAGCCAAAATAAACCTCTCCTTCCTTGAATTATGAGTATCAGATATTTTATCCCAGCAATGAGGAAAATAACTAATACACAATGTCTTTGACCAACATTGGATGTCTGTAAAAGAATATAGATAAAAAAGTGGAAATAAGTCACACATATATGCTTGATTTGGACAGAGAAAATACTGGACAGCTATAATATCTCCTACATCTTGCAAGCTATGTATTTGTAAAAAATGCATTAATACTTTAATTTGAAAAAATAGTAAATATTCTGTGACTCTGGTATATAATCATTAAAAAATAAGCAGTTATTAAATGATATTAGGAATGAAGAAATTACTGGTGAACTTAGGGGCACCATTTAGTAACAGCATGGTCCTTCACTTCCATTTGACTGGGAAACGAGTAAGGCAGAGATTGATTCTGAGTGTTAGGGACACTAATAGTGTTGGAAGGCACTAAGTTTTCCTGAGGAGTCAACTTGAACATTGTCAATATATAAGAGAATAAAAAGAGGACACATGACCTTGAGACTTGGTGATAGTAAGATCATCCAGATAATTTGCTCAGCTACTGCAAAGAGATTCTCGCCATTATTACTGGCAGTGGGGCATGTGGTAGCAGGCTATAAATTGCCAGGATAAGTTCCAGGCTTTGTTTGAGGTGAAAGTCATCTCTTTGTATAGTCCAGAACTTAGATGACTGAAAGACTTATAGATCACAATCTTTAGGGACTTTAAATAGTTTGCCTAATACAGATAATAGCTAGTAGAGTTGGATTAAACCCCCAAACCTGGATTTGACACCAGAACTCAGTTGCTTCCTTATTAATAATAAGTTGCAGGGCTTGGTAGGTCAGTCTTTCTATCTTTTATCTCTTCTCAACTGTGCTAGTCATGATTCTCTAAAGAAACAGAACCAATTGGACATAAGAGAAGATTTACCATATAAGCCAGGAAGGCCAGTATTATAATGCAGTGTGGGTTCCCTGGCTTGAGACTTAGAGGTGGTATCTGGGAGTAGGATTGACAGTTAGTTGATCACACATTGAAGAGAATAAAGGTTCTGTGTAGGATTTACAGACTTTCTACATCCTCATTTCCCTTTGTGCTTTTTGTTGGAGAATTAGGGGGATAAACCAGAAAATACCATTGAATGTTTAGAGATCACTAGGGTTTCCATATAGTGCCCTTCTCCAGTACATCTGAAATCATCTGCCTGACTGTCAAAATCATCTATAAGTGCACTTTTAAAATCCAGGCTTAGCTCCTATGACAAACCAACGTGATGCTTTTTCTATAGTCAAACCATACTTTTCACTGGCTCCTGAGACTGTTGATTCATTCTCCTGTCACTCCTTCATCTGAAATCTGCTCATGTGCTTTGTGTTTAAGGTATTCTGCTCACAGAATACTTGTCAAAAGGAGTAATAAGTATAGCTAGAATTTACTGAGTTCTCAGTCTGGCATTCATGGCAATAGCCATCTTACATTGAGCTCTTATTACATGTTGGTCACTAGATTAAATACTGTGTCTAACTTGCTTCATTTACTCTGCCCAATAATCTTTGTGTTGTTTTTCTTATCCATATTTTACTGAAGGAGAAGCCAGGGTAAAGAGAGAGAGAGAGAGAGAGAGAGTGACGAGGGTCACACACAGTAAAAGGGGAGTCTATACCTTCATCCGGATGGTCTCTTCAACGTAAGGATAGAGCAGGCTATGCCACACTCTAGGAACTTGCAGTTTAGTACAGAAGCGATGACACAGATGAGGGTGGTAGAATAAAGTCGTAGCTTAAAGGTGTCTTGATAAAAGTGAAAAGTGACATAAGAGTTCCAAACAGTCAGTCCTTCCAAACAGAGATCATTAAAGGGAGCGGGGCTTACTGAAGAGATGCGGTCTCTGTCTGCAGTGGATTCCTTCCAGGAACCCAAGTCCATGGATGCTCAACTCCCTCGTAAAAAATGTTGTTAGTATTTGCATGTAGCCTATAAACATTCTCTCACATCCTTTAAATTATCTCTAGATTACTTATAAATATACAGACCGTAAATGTTATATAAACACTTATGATGCTACATTGTTCAGGGCACGATGATAAAGAAATGTGTGGTGGGTTGAATCTAAGGAAGCAGAACCTGTAGACAGTGGGCCAGACTGACTTCACGTGGGTTTGTTAGCAAAGAAAGGGAACAGAAGCACACGAGGCGGTTTAGGGGAAGAGAATTTAAGAATTACATGAGGGCAGACTTGGATATGAGACTCTAAAACAGATGGCTGCCGAATCAGGGGGGCCCAGAGCCAGGTATTTCTCTTCATTAAGCAGATGGTATGGGGAAGAAGCAGACAGAAACCTCACACAATGTCAAAGACTTATAGAAAATGGAGGTTAAAAAAATCAGAGGCAGGTAGAGTTTAAGAAGATTAGAAAGGGAAGTAATTTGGTGGGTACCATGCAGTACGGCAGGAACCAACTGGAAGTTGAGCCATGATGTTGGATCCAGGAGAGGGATGTGGCAAAGAGAAATGAGTCAATGGAAAATGAAGAGGGGGGACATAATGACTCCAGGCATGGAGGAAACACTTTAAGGAAGATCGCTCTGGAGAATATGATCCTGCAATCTCTCTCTACCTTTCTGGGATATCTTAACAGTACTTCCTGGGTCCTTACCTTAGGTCAGGGAGATATGTCCCGTGTGGTGCCTAAGGAAGACCAGTTTTGCAGATGCCAGTGTAGTTCATAGAGAACGAAACTAGGGAAATTAGGAGACACCTGTGTTGTCCTGTCACCAGGTAGCTGACACTCCCCTGGGACTTCTGGAAACCGCTTTGCCAGTAAATTAAGCAGTAACCTGCAGCTGATTCTGAAGCAGTGGGGCGAAGGAGCAGAGGAGACAAGGCACAGGTGGGTGGTTCAGAGTCTGTTGCCCGGGTTGTAACACTGATCTGGGATTTGGGAGAGAGAGCGAGATGGGGGACATAGATTATCATATTTTCTCTGGGGAGAGAAAAGGATAGAGTTAAGGACAGAATGGAGCTTTCCACCTACTGAGGAGCTTCAGTCAATGAAGGAAACAGCGGGATAGCCCCAAGGGAAGTAGAGCCTGACTGGCGTCAAAGTGTTTCCAAAAATAAATGAGAATGAAGAACAAAAACAGTCTATGGGAGTTATTCTATTAGGGGTTAGTTTTAAAAGGGATTATGTCTTAGGTTTCCTGCTAAGGAGAGACTTCTGCCTGCCCATCCTCTCATACAAATTATAAACTTCCCTCAGGGCATCGCTTTTCTTTCTTTTTTTTTCTCATTGAGTTTATTGGTATTTTTTAGGTATATAGTACAGTTACATTCATCATAGGGATCTTGTACCTTTACATGACAGGTCTTGGTTCTCATTTGTTCCCCATATCCCTGCTCTCCCTTCTTACTATTCTGTTCTTCATCTATTTCCCAATCCTCAGAGACTCGGTATCTTTGGATTTTCTATACACTACCCTGCATCTTCACAGGGGTGGGAGCCTCTCAGCTTCCATGTGATGGGAGTAACGGAGCAGCTTTCACTCATCTCCACAGGGATTGTAGTAACAGCTTCCTCTCTACCTTGGATCTCTGACTCCCTGTGGGTCCCAGTGATGTTTTTTCCTCAAGGAGCAAGTATAATTTTAAAAGGCAAATTAGATCATATCCCGGTTTAAAACTTACAATGGCTTCCCTTCACCCTGGAAAAAAGAATTTAAGCTACCAGACTTGGCCATGGCCTAGAATGGGTCACCTTACCTCTCAGATTTCCACTCCCTGCCCTCCATCACCCACTGTACTCAGCAGCATGGCTCCCTTCTCTGTGTCCAGACCTGTCAACCTTTCATTGCTTCTGCTTCAGATATTTCCCAGAACTCTGCATAGCTCTCTCTTCCTCACCACTCAGGGCTTTATGAAAGGGCTGCCCTTTAGCAAGAACTTCCCCAAGCATCCTTACATAGTCCACTTGTCACTCCATGTCACCCTAGGCAATACCATCACTTTGGCTTCTCCACAGCACTGTCAGTATTGAAATTATCTTTATATTTATTTCATGTTATTTTTCTCTCATTCTTCAACCAAATCTCAATGATTACACATTTTTCTGTCTTGCCCTAAATTGCCTGCAGTACAAGCGGAATCTCTGGCACACAACAGGCGCTTCATCAGCACTTTCACGGGCTAATTGATTCAGCTTTGGACATTCTGGTACCTGAAAGCCTGGGTCCTATTTTCCCTCAGCCTGGATCCTATTTTCCCTCATCACTTCCCCAGTCAGGCCCTCCTGACACCTTATCTGAATCTGACATTGCACTCTGTTCTCTTTCATAAAACCTGGTTATTGTCTTCAAAGCACTTTCCCAGATTTTGACCATAAATGCATGCTATGTGTTTCTATGCTGCCTTCCCATCAAACTCTAGCAACACAGAGCTTGTATACAGTTGTACATCCCATGTCAGGTGCATACTAGGTGATCAATTGTTCTATAGTGAATGAGTATTAAAATATTCTGAATTCCTCCAACTTTAATCATAGAGTAGACTATGGAAAGCATAGCTGATAAAAGGTTGGTGGACATTTTGGGGGAAAATCTAGATTTCCTTGCTACAACTGTTCTGGACTCTTCCATTTTGCACAAAGGCCATCAAATGAGCCCTGATCTAGAGGAGAACATTTGTATCCTTTTCTCCAGCAGAACAATGTGAGGTACAGGCTGGACCTGACTCTGCCCAAGCTGGTGGTAGGGGAGACAACTCAGTGCTGGTCTCTAAGTCAGGTGCAGCAAGGACAGCCATCTGTGTCGAGCCTGAGGAGGGAGCTTGCTGGCCCCCACTGGGAGGAAAGGCAGGGTGAGGGGTGGTGGTGGGCTGGGTGCTAGCATCTGAAGTCTGGCCATTGTTTCCTTCTGGGCAGCTATGTTGGTGCAGACTTGTACAGTGTTCAGATGCCTCACCCATGAGAAGTTCCAGCTGCTGAAAGGGAAACATGGGCAAAAAGAGTGAACGTCACATCACATTTGCACCTGACACATAACTCACACTTGGGAGAAAGGCACTCATATGACGTGCATTCTCTAGAACGAGCTCTTTCCAGCAGATTATGGTAGTGACTTAATTTATGTTGACTTGGAACTCAAGCTTCACCAAACCTGCACTTTTTGTTCCCATGTGGAAAATGGACAGCAACACTTGTCTTATTCATGGGCCAGGGTGAAGCTTGGCCTAGCAGGTAGGTGAACCGAATTCCAGCCCTGACTAGCCACCAGCTAGTATGTGTCTTTATACCTGAAATACAGGCCTGAGCACAAAACCCTGGAGTCTGAAATGACTGCACAGTCAGTCTTCTCCCTGGATGCCCCCTCCCATGGTTGGCTGGAGAAAGTCCCATTCTGCACCTGTGTCATACCAAGAGAATCCTTTCTCTGATTTGCTGAGCCCGGTGTCCTAATTGAAACTCCAGCTCTGCCACCTGCTTCCTCAGGGCCTCACGTAAAGTTTGCAGTTGCTCAGCCTCCTCCCTGCAGGTAAATAATAGAAAGCAACCAAATTGAACAGTCACTCCAGGTGCGGTTTTCCATTGTCCCACTCCCATAACGTAGGTTCTGCTTTTGGGATTTCTTAAAAGGGCGTGTCACCATCTTTATTTGATTCAGTTACAGACACAGGCACATGTTGCCTTCTCTTCTGCAGTACTAAGAATGGAACCTAGGGCTCATGCATGCTGGGTGAGCACCCTACCTTTGAGCTATACCCTCAACATTTCTATCTCCCAGATAGGAATCCTCTTGCTCTTTTACAATGAAACCCTATTCCCACTCAGTAGCACCCCCAGCATTGAGGATGTATCCTTTTCTGGGGATGTTTAAAAATACATTTGAAAATAATGCGGATTTGCTAAATTCTAATAACCTTCAACCTTTGCACTTGCAGGCATCCCATTCGCATTGATTAAAGGCGTCCTACTGGTATCCTCCCTCCTCCAAGCTGATTGCCCCTCTCTCAACCTTCTCAAATAGCTCTGGCCTTAAAGAATAAGTATTCCCATCTAGGGAATGGCTCTCACAAGCTCCCACCGAGAAGGAAAAAGTGAGATCATGAAAGCAAGGAAAACACTGGCCAATTTCTCATTAGCTCTGCTCCAGGGTGCTCACTGGTCCTGTCCTGCCCTGATTATCTTCTCTTCCTCCAGGTGTCTGGGCTAGCACTTACTTTTATGGCTCCCTTAGATAATTACCTTTCATCCTCTGACATGTCCCTGCAAATGAGTGTTTGCTGTCCCATAAGGTGCTGTTCAATTTCCTCTAAATGCTCCTGGAAACTCTGGCATATTGTCTTCATGGCTTCTACCTCATGGACGGTGCACTGGGGACAATTAGAAAGAACTGAGAAGAGGTCCTTTCTGATTCGTTGGATCAGCTCTCAAGGGTGGGGTCTGTTTTCCTATTCAGGGGATTCATTGGCTGCTGGAAGCAAATAGAGGCAGTGGTTAGCTGAGATAGGAGGGCAGCAGTAGTTGGGTGGTCCTTGGGTGACAGTCATTATATCTTGGACAGCACTGGGCCATCTAAAAGATTAGGTAACATAAGAATTCAAGGATGTGAACAAAAGAAAGTATGGGGAGGGCCAGAGAGAGGGTGTGTGCTTAGAACAGTTGAGTCTTGTTTATAATCTTGTTGAACTTTGGTGCTGAGTAACAAGAACACTGAACACATCTGTTCAGATGGTATGTGTTTGATTAAAAAAAATCTGCTTAGAATATTTCATATCAGTCTTAGCCCTGCTAAGCAACAGTCCCTGGAGATTGAAATCTGCAGGATCAGCTTCACCAAACTAATCAGCCCACTAAAAGCAAGACAGGTCAAATTAGGAATCCTATTCTCTTCAGGAATTAGAATCTAGAATTGAGCTCCTTCTACCCTCTTAGTCCTGCTCCCCATGGCTTCTGATAAATTATCCTTTTAATCTTAAATCTCTGTAGGTCTGTGCTTGTTTTGCCTGGGTTTCTTAACTTCAAGATATTCCAGAAGCCTCTGAGAATTGTGGAATTGAATTCTCTGTACATAACAATCCCAAGCTGCACTGATAGGCTTCACTGAACTCTATCATGGCTTCTGGTAGTACAAGGCAATGCCCCTCGCATAACATCCCTCCCTTCCCCTGTCCCCAATTATAATCCCCATCTGAGAAAGCTCCAGACTACTAGGAAAATTAACAGTTTGCTCTAATCATCACCTGACCTCTCTTTCTTACAGCAGTTTTTGAAGAAGCCTTAAAATTTTGAACATCTTTCTCTTACAACTCAGAAGTACCTTTCTCAGGGACCTGAAAGTCATTCCTTTGAATTGTACTCATCTGGCTGGCAAGGGACTGTCTCTCAGTCTCTGTAAGAGGATAGAATCTTAGCCTCAATACCCAGAAGCTCACAAACCCTGCTGGTCCAATTGTGTTTGCACTGACCTACTGTTCTGTGATTTTTCACTTCTCTGACCGTACAATGTCCCTGCTCAGTTCATGCCCTCATTCTTTTTTAAAAAATGCTCAGATTATCTTTGCACAAATTGGAATGGGGGTTCAGCTCATTTTACTATCGGTAGTTACCGAATAAAATCTGTTTTCCCTGCTTGAACCATCTTTGACATATCCAAGCCCAGTCCATTTGTGGGGCACACTGATGATTTACTGAGGCTTTTACAGGTTCTCCCCCATTTTGTAGTCTAGGTTTGGTCATGCTTTAAATGGATTCAAGACCCAGAAACTCAGGGCCACTTGCCTACTTATTTCAGTGATAGCAATGCTTACCGCACCGTAAAATAACCCTACCAGTCCTGCTCCCAGATCAGTGTGGCAGAGGCTTCTAATTGCCTCTTTAGTATTTTTCTCCTTTTTCCTCTTAATAACATAATTCTACACTGAATAGGGGCAGCAGTGTGTCTAGCCAAAAACCTGTATTTCCCAGCTTCCTTTGCAAATAAGATAGCTAAAAGAATGGAAACCCTTTAAAGGCTAGCAGACCCACTTAACCTTCTCCATGGAGATCTGCCTTACAGTTAGGCTAATCCCTCCAGCCCTGTTTCTAGGAAGTCCCAGATTTCTTGTCTTTCTCTCAAGACTATGTGGCAAGATCCTGGAAGCCTGATGGCTATTTTTACTAGAATTTTCATCATGCAAATACTTACCTGATAGTGACACTTGAATATTAAAACTCTTCATCATTTTGCTTTGAGAGTTGTTTTAATTTTATCCTCTAATAATGTATTTTACATTGTAAAACTGTCCAATTACTTTTAGTCTCAGTGTGAGTGAATCTGAATCAGCTAACGGAGCTAACATTTTTTAATGTTAGCAAAAGTACTTGAAAGATAACTAGAAAAGATCTTGGAGACTATGAAGCCTCCTTTTATAAATAAGTGTTCTACCACAGAATCATTAACTGTATGGTCTTTGGTCATAATTGGCAGTCATATTCAATGCAAGTCCCTCGTTCATGTCTTTTCCTTTCAATATCTGAGTCATAGCAGGGACTACAGGGAACTGGATACATAGAGAAGTTATCTGTCCCTTAGGAGGAAGCAGGTTAAGTTGCTCAAGTTGATTCCAATACTACTAGCCAGACGGTTCAGATTTACTTCAAACTTCCAGTGACAGTGAGGCCAGGCCATGAAAAGATGATGATGGACAGGCCCATGGAAAGTAGGCTGAACAGCATACGAATTAGGATTTATGTTTCACCCAGACCTTTCTTGTTTTCTCTTTGTGATTGAGGGTATATGGTGGGGGCTAAGGGTTAGAACTGGAAGTAACTGCTGGGGTAGCATGTTCTCAGAGGGGAGTAATATGGAATGATGCCATCTTCTGGTCATCTGTAAGCTCTAAAAATACATTTTAGCTCTGAAACAGGTCAAGAAAGTTTCATAATAAAGCAAACCTTACACAAGAAGGGAGTGAGGGAAAGAATGTGTTTTGAACTCTATTTCTCCCCCAATATAAGGACTGAGTTAAATCCAAATACAGTGCAAGTTCTGTACCATTACTGATCCAGATCCATTAAAACAAACTTTAGCTTTAACATTAAGGGAAATAGTACAAAAAGACATTGAACTTTCACTTACAAGTTGGATTATATTGCTTTTTAAAATTGCATATTTTTATGGAAAAAATAAATAAAATTGCATATTTTTCTTTATTTATAAACCCAAACCATCAATGTTATAGAATAATTGTCTAAATTCAGAAATCTTATTTCTGACACTTCTCATTTTTTTCTGGAAATATTTTTGCTTTTGAATTACCTCTTTTTGAATTAATAAATTATTCTAAAGAATTCACATATACATAAATTCAATATATCAACAAGTCAGTTCTTGAATTAAGAAATTATTATGAATTATCATGAAGAATTCACTTACACATAAGAACCTAATCATACCAAGAAACCATTGTCTTAGATATTCCTCAAAACCACAAAATAGTCATGCATTTCTCTGCATTGTTGCCAGTGGACAAGCAGGTGAAATGGAGATTATTTTTAGTCAAGTCCTTTCTCTGAAATGGTTCAGTTTTAATTAACTCTGCTTGGAATTCCTGTTGTCATATATAAGACAATATACATGTTGGTCTGTAGTCTAAGACCTATTTTCTAACCCCCATAAAACCCTAGCTAACACATAGCATTTAATTTAAAGTTATTTTTTAAGAATATTTTTATACTTTATAATCCTAGGGTCACTCACAGTAGATGTTTCTACCTGTACTGCTTTTTTTTTTTCCTCTGTTCTTTAAATACCCTCTGCTTATGGAGGAACAAAATCTCTTATCTTCCTTTGTCCTTCTGAACCCATGCATACATGCTCGTGTGCCTCTGTGTATGCCTGTGAACAAGTAAAAATATGCCTATGTATATGTGTATATGTTTTGACTGTTTCTTTTGAATATATGTTTCTAGTTTCTTGGGTCTAAATAAAGAGAAAAACATTATTATCTAGTAAAACTCCAAATAGTATCCATTTCAGCAAGGGTACAATGCCAAACTAACTGGATGTAAAATTATATCTTTTGGTATAATTGCAAATTCTTAGAGGAGAGAAGGCTGAAGAAAGAGAAGACAAGGTATCAGCGGCCATGGGATGGTGATATTTACAGTTATTTAAACTCTTACATATTTAAAACCCACAAGTAAGTCTGAGGATGGATGCTGTACATACAGGGACATAAACTTCTCTGTTTTCTGCGGAAGTGCTGATAATGTCATAATGTCAAAAGAGGAGGGACGTCTATTTCTGGAAGTCAAGTTCTTCCACTGGGACTCTGCAGGCCTATAGTCTTTCTGGAAGGTCTCTCTTCTCTTACCATGAAATAGGAGGAAGGAGCAGACCCTGGTCTACAGTCAGGGTCAGCCCTGGAGCTGGCCCATGTTTAGTCTCCTGTCTTTATTTTAAACAAGGTTCTTACCTTGTGCCTGGCTCTGGGTCCCTGTGCCTGAGTTTCCCAACAGATGACTTACTCTTCCCAGTGTTCTTGCTCTAGAAGCTGCACTCCTTCTACCTGTTCATCTGCTCTTAGACGCCTACTTGCTTATTCATTCCTCAGAAACATGGTTCCCAAAGCGTCAAGGACACCCCTGAAACCTCATATAACCCCTAGCCTTTCATAGTAATGGTCTGGCTAGGCTGTACTAACTGATTAGCAGTCCTCTCTGGATGCCATGTTTTGCGTGATGGATTAGACATCTTTCTGGCACCTATAGTCCAGCCACTGGTCATCCTAGACCTTGGAGCTCCCTTTTCCTGAGCTGTCTTCTCTCGGGCACCCAACAGATCAAATATCTTTAAGTAGAACATGTTTTCACTTTGTACCGTGGGAGGCTGTTATCCTTCTTTCTTTCCTTCTTGTCTTTCTTTTTCTTTAGAAAAGCATAGGTTCTTTCTTTTTATTTTATCTTGTCATATCACCAAATGCATGGTAGTCTAATTGAGTATTAATAGATATCTGGTTATAATATAAAAGTATAAATTGTGATAGTGATTACCAATGACAATTTGATGCAATAGACGTGTAGCTTCCCAGTCTATTGATATATGTTTATTATTTTTCTTCTTAATCCTATACAAGATTTATATTGTCTTTAGGAAGGATGATGGGAACAGAAAACAGAGACTATCTTCATGTGGAATAAATACCTGCAGAATTTACTCTAAAAGAAGGCATTGAATATGTCTAGAAGAAACATTTCTTCTAGTGTCCTTAACAGAGTCTTGATCATATATTTTTAATATTTTAAAATAAATATCACTTAATTCATACATCTTTGTCTTAAAATATAAATTCATATGTCTTTATCTTAAAATATAAATTAGAAAGATAGTCTCTCTTCAAGATATTTATTCATGGGCCTGGGATTTAGCTCAGTGGTGCTGCTGCCTGCCTTGCAAGTGCGTGAACCTGAGTTTGATCACCGGTACAAATATTTATATATATTCATGTCAGACCAAAAACCTGGTTTTCATCATGGAAATGGAAGTATTTAATTTTAAGATTTAATTTTTTTCCTGTTTGTGCTTTCAAAATGTCACCTTCTCTAGTTATCTTTCATTTCTAACATTTTCCCATGCAAAATAAGTGAGTCTGATAAATGCTTATTCCCTTAGAGCTGAGTTTTTTGACCTTGACGTACTAACATTTTGGACCAAATAGTTCTTTGCTGAGATGCTGTCCTGTGCACTATAGGATATTTAGCAACATTCCTGACCTCTACTCACATGTTGCCAGTAGTGCCCACCCCCTTCCAGTTGTAACCACTAAAAATGTCTCCAAACACTGCCAAATGTCACCAGGGAGGTAGAGTAAAGACCTTCTGCCTCTATCATGATGGTGATGGAGACAGTGACCCTTCCGAGAGGTTTGTAGCTGAGTCTTTCCATACTCCAGAAGAACTCTACCTAAACATTAGAACATTAGAACAGTCTGTGTTCTTTTTTTTTTTTACAGAACTTTTAAATAATATATCCAGAACTGACCTGTCTCTGTGCCTAAATGGAGCTTTCTCTTACTATTACAAACATCATTTGTGGCTCACTTAAAAATATTCCAACTGGCTAGTAGTCTTGCAATTTGTAAAAACTGATGATAATAATTGACTTGGTGTTAATGAGTGTAAAATATACTGGATATTAATTATTTTACCTTGAATATAATCACTTTGTTTATATAGATTTCTATATGTTGAAGGGTCATGTAGCAATTTACTTTATATTTCAAAAATAATTTTCTAATGTTAGTATTCTAGTATTACTTTTATATAAATTTGGACACTTTAAATTGGGCACATCTTTGTCTGGAGTAGTGTGTCTATGAATTTGGTGTCTCTCAAATTGGAATTTGAATTTAAACTTAGTAGTTGAGAGGTGCTGGGAAAATTATCTAACCTCTCTCAGTACTGGTTTTCCCATCTACAAAAAAGGAGGAACTTGCACATATTAGGAACCCAATGAATATTTATGGCATGCGTGAAATTGAATGTTAAATAGAAAAATATAAAAATGATTAGCATAAGCACTCAATATATATTTGTGAAGTTAAAGAACAGGAAGCTGACTCAACATGAACTAAATTCAGTAAATCATAGTTCCTCTCTACTCTCTTCGAAAAGGTGCAATCCTACACTATCTGTGCCCAACCCCTCTTTACCTCTCTAAACAAGTAGTTTCAGGTGTAATAGTCTCAAATTTTAACCAGTGGCTAGCCTTGAAAGTCTAGCTTATGTCTCACCTTTGAACTGCCGAAGAAAGGTGCTGGAAGATTCATTAAATACTTGTTGACTAATCAAGGGCTAAAGAAGGTTGAGGACATTCAGTTCTCTGTAACTTCTAATGTTTATGTTAAACAAGTTTGGAAAAGGTACACCAGAAGTCCCTCTATTTGACATGAGAAGCTCTAGATTCAAAACCTCAGCAATGATAAAACAGTAATAAAAACTGACAGTAAGAATAACATTCATTTAATTAATATCACCAAAAGCTTTCTCTGTGCCAGGAGTATGCAAGGTACTGTATCTGAGGGTCCTGAATGCTTTACAAATTTCATTTTATCTAATCTCAAGACAATCCTGTGTCTGTATCATGGACTATGTCCTACTTTATAGGACAGGTCCAGAGAGATTAAATGCCCCATGAAAGATGACACAGTTAAATGAATTTAAGACCTAGAACTTTTCAGCTGGACTGAACAGGAGATTAGACAGATGCATTCATGCTTATAACCTTGGGCATATGAATCTATTATTTCTTACCGTAGTTTTACCTTCTGTAAAGTGAGACTTAATAATAAAATTTATTTTCCTTACTTCAAAAGATGATTGGTAAGAAGAAATTTGGGAGGCTATATCATAAACAAGCCATTCTACAAATGCACTGAGATCTCACATTCAGAAAGGAGGGCCGAGTATTATTGTTGAGGTGATGGTGGTGTCCCTTGGTGCATCTACATTCTTGTCTTTGCAGAGAAGGAAAATACTTACAGAATATAGCTCCCTCATGAACGTGTCCTGAAGGACTCTCAAGGTCTTCGTGAACTCAGCTTCCAGATGCTCTGCATGTGGACACAGCCAGTGTCTGCCCACACAGGGTGCAGGGCCAGCACATGGCCTTTCCCCAAGTCTGTGGAAATGGTGATGACAGCAGAAACAGCAGTGGGTGAGTGTGGTGGGGCAAGTGCCCATTGGGTCAACACTAGGGAAACTTGTGTCCAAAGAGACTGATTGGGTGAGCGGCTCGGGTCTGTGAGTGAAGGCTTTGTCACTTGGGGATATACAGCAATGGCAGGGCTCAGATTCGTATGTGTAAGTCTGAACAGAAACATGACTGACCTGCTTTGTTTCTGTCTCCTGTCTCAGTTCTGTTATAGTTATAGGGTCACACAGAGTACATTCTATATCTGCTCTTCTGTAATCCATGCCAGAGGCCACAACACTCTGAGCAGCTGACACCAGACCAGAGGACATTTGGGTTGTCATAGACCTGGAGCAGCCAGCACTTGAGTACCTGGGAGCTTCTCCAGGCAGCTTATTGGGGTGAGAAGTGGACTTGTCAGGTGTTTGAACAAGGTCAACTCTATTGTGTGTGACTTCTCTATGCCTGAGAATGTGCTCTGATGGTCTCTCTTCTACCAGTAAGGTGTTGCCAGTGTCAGGACAGAGTTTGTGGCTCTCTGCTCCTGGGTCATCAGAGGCCTCTTGAGGGAACCTGTCTTGATTCTGATCAATTCCAGATGGCCTCTGATACTCACAGTGGTGCCTTTGCATGAGCACTTCCCTAGCACCCTCAAGCCTCAGAGACCCTTCCTCCTCTTCTGTGATGTGGGTCACCATGAACCCCAGAGGGCCATCAAATTTGGAAATCACTATAGCTCCAACATCCTCATAGTCAGCCTCAAGTGTCGGTGAGGGCTGCTGAAGATGGCTGTCTTCCCATGGGTGTTCCCAAGTAGCAGTCTCGGCAAAGACCATATCAGGGACCAACAGCTCTTGTGGCCCCTGCGTGGCCTCAAGCGGAGGCTGCTCCTTCAACACAGATTCTGAGGCCTTTTCTTCCAAGACAATCCAGTCTTGGCTTGAAAAAGATGAGCTCACCATTCTCTTGGAATCAGACCCTTTAGACTCTTGCTGACAGTCCCGGGATGACACTGAGCTGTGGCTCTGATCCCGTGGCTTTCTATCTGTATTCTCAGTAGGACTCTGGCTGCTTGGCAAGGAAGGAATCTGTGGGAGAAACCAGGACAAAAGGACATGAGTCAGGAAGTGGGGGAGGCAATAAGTATAAGGCAATAAATATTACCATTAATTCAGTAGTCAAGAGATAAAGGTTACAAACTCAGGTTCTTTATCAGTTTACTACTTAACCTGTACCTCTTCTCTATGAAGTTCATTTTTCTTGTTTAGAAAAATCAAAAGAAAATTAAAAGGAAGGGCATCTTGTCCTCTGTGATTTTTATCATCACCTGCCCCCTTGGGTGCACATGGCATGTGTCTTCAAATCTTTTCTATTGTGGAAGGCACTTAAAGCTTACCCTTCCCTTTGAGTCAGGTTGGGAGAGTGGTTGATAGGGTTGAAATGGAGTGTGTTTGGTGACCAGTGAGGGCGTTGTTACAACTCCTTCTACCTGGAGGAGCGGGGCTTCCACTGGCTCCTCCAAAAACCCACTACTATCAGACTGACAGCTGTTGGCTCTGTCCATCCTGGTGCCTGTGGGAAAAGAGAGAGCTGTGATTAGTAAGGTGCAAACATCTACCAATAGTCAGATGCAAACATGCTACCAACAGAGGTCAGACCCACTATGTGCCTGGCATGTCAAAGATCTTCCATAAACGCTACGTACAAAGGAATGAAGGAATTCCAAGGCTTTTTCCCCCTTTAGTTAGAGAGCTCCTGGAAAACTACTTCCTGATACAAAGACTGAACATGCACTGAAAAAAGAGGAACTAACTTCTCTTAAAACTAAATAGCCTTATAATTTTGAGTTGAATCTTTACTAAGAGGAAGAAAATCCAGAAGGAGACCATATGCCTTTATTAAAAAAAAATAGACCAAAATGTATATATTTATGCATATATGTTCATATTCACTTTCCTTTTACTAATTTTTTCATAAGAACCCTTTGCCCCTTTAGCTAGACTCCAACTATATGGCAAGTCCACACTCATGGTTAGACTACAGCTGCTGCCACCGCAAGAAGCTGGGAGGGCAGGGAAAAAAACCTTGTTAAATATGGAAAGTGACTTCACAAACACATGCACTTGAGATTCTAAATCCACTTGTAGCTTCTTGTGTAAGTTTTATGTAATGTTCTCATGTGGAGGGGGAACAAGTAGCTACTAGAGGGTCACTGTGCTAAAAATTAAATCATGGAACCACCTCCTATAAAAAAATGTTTCCACCTGCACCATGGCATAGGCTAGAATAGGAAATCTCTTGCAAGGAGTCGATTGGGTCTCCTCAGAATACACACAGCAGAGGGAAGATCTTCATTTATCCTGGGGCATGCAAGGAAAAAGCAGATTGTCGGTGGATGTAATGCTCAAATATTTAAATGAGAAGTAGGGGATTTGTTTTTGTTTGGTTAATTAGCTGCTAAAGAAGAGAAAAAGAGCTCTGCTACTGCTTAGATGTTCTAGACCCAGCCTTGGACAATTGCTGCACTGATAGCAGCACCTAGTTTTTTTTTTTTTTTTTTTTTTTTTTTTGTTCTGGTACCGGGAATTGAACTCAGGGCCTTGCGCTTGAAAGGCAGGCCACTGAACCGCTGAGCTAAATCCTGGGCCCCAGCAGCACCTAGTCTTGTAGGGCAGTCTTAACTTTCTAAAATTAAGACAAATGAACTTCATATTCTTTAATTTAGTCTCAAAAAATTTAAATGTTAGAAATCAAAGGACATCATGAGATTTTAGTATCTGAATGTAGGAGAGATTGTGGAACACAGAGCATACCTTAAAATTATAATGTCCTTGACCTAGCTACTGTTTCTTGCTACACTGATCAGAATTAAATACAGAAAATATTTACCGGTTATGAACCTAAATGAGACTTTCGCTTTGGACAAACTGGAGTAATGAAGACTAGATTTTTTTCTCCCACCTGAAACAACCAAAACTTGGAAAATGTATGTGGTTAAAAAAAATAATCAGTGGTCCTGGTTATGGACCATGGAAATTTTGCAGTTCAAGACTGCAATCCCTGAGAGACAGACACAAATGATGTCCAGCTCTGATCATTCAGCTGTCCACCTGGGGCTCATAGTCCATGGTACAGGAGTAGGGAAGCCTGGAAGACTCCTTGAATTAAGGACACAGAACTAAGAATCTGGGAAGACCCAGCCAGCTGGAGTTCACAGCAGTAGGAGAAAGCCACACAGAAAGAGTTCTCTCAAGATCCCTCTTGGGTCTTCCTCTGTGTTGGGGACTAGGCTATGTAACTCAGATCTCACAGTCTCCAGGGTGCTCTCTGACCTCCTAAACAGACTTATGTGGAAGGCTGCATGCCCCCTGGCTGTGGGCAGAATGCTGATACACTCCTGAGACAAGACAGCATCTGCTGAGAACACTCTTCAATATACAAGCATTTGGTTGTAGAGAAAATCTGGTTCCTCATTGCCTTAATCCTTATCCATCCATTCTCTATAGTTGCTATTCCACAAAATGAGTGTTACCCCTACCCCTGTGCTTCTTCCTCTTAATAAAAGCAGGCCCATCGCAGAGTTTTATTGGAGTCTGTCCGCTAGAGGCAGGTCTCCTTCTGGGCTACCCTTTATATCTTGAAAATTGCCTCTCTTACTTTTTAGTCTTTGTCATTCCCCCCAAAAAAGGGATCTGATCAGCTCTCAGTACTTTCGAGTATTGATCAGGTCATGCATGTTAGAAAACACCAAGGTCTGGAGAAAGAAACGACTGAAGGAAACTGCCCAATGGTCACCCTAGGCCTGGGGTAGGGCATGCTTTTATTATCCAGACTGGAAAAATCTCACAGTTCACATGGTATGGGCTGGGGTCAGGAGGTAAAGTACTCAGATGTGTCTTGACTCAGGTGAGGAGTAATTAGCCCTAAGATGAACAATGTTCTGGTTCCACTTAACATGTCTTCACTGCAAAACCTAAAAGAACTATTTCCAAGTAACTCAAATGTGTCCAAGATCTGAGCTCAAGAATATATATACATATATATACATATATATGTATATATATACATATATATATAAGAATATACTAATATTTAACATCTAAGAGGTAAAATGCATCTAATAAGTGATATTAGTCATGTGGGAAAATATAACCTATAATAGGGAGAGATATTGATAGATTGAAACTAATCTAGAACTGACACAGACTTTGGAATGATCAAAGACGTTAAATGTTTATTCCACATGTTTAAGAAGCTAGAGGAAAGACAAAACCTCCTGTCTGAATTACATTTGTAGGGATGAAAACTATAGTGTCTCTGATCCTATGCATAATGAATGAGATTAACAGCAGATTAGAGATTGCACAAGAAAAGATTAATGAAATGAAGATATAATGATAGAAATTAGTCTCTATAAAACACAGAGGTGAAAACTAATATAATTAATGAAAAGCACATGAGTGAGTTGCAGAACAACTACAAGTATCCATATATATCTATTAAAGAAATCCCAAAGAGGAGGGACAGCACATGAAGTACATCAAAGAAAAGTTGTGGTCAAAACGCTCAACAAAGCCCAAACATGAAAAAACAAAACAAAACAAAAAAACTACACTGAAGTATGTTAAAATCAAATTGTCCAATAGCAGTCATAAAGAGAAAAACCTTAAAATCAGCCAGAGAAAGAAAACACATTATATCCAGAGCTAACAAGGACAAGGATGGCAGCAGAATTTTTGTTGGAAATAATCCCAGAGAAAAGATAGTTAATATCTTTTGAGTACTGAAAGAGAAAACTATGTGGAGAAGCATATTATAAATATTATTTTAATGTTTTACATGTTCATTATCTAAACCCTTTCAGAAGATGATTAACATCTAAACAAATATGGTGATGTAGTATGGCATTCGTAACAAAGGTCTAGAAGAACTGTTACAGCAACACCTGTTGTTATAAAATCAAATAGTTTCTATGGCAGGAGATGTTCAAGAGATATTCCTCAACTATAATATACAACTTTTATAGAGCTTTTAACCCAGACAGTAGACCACTCGTTTACTTACTGTCAGAGGAAATAATGGCTGTATTTGTCATAGAATAATTATCTACTTGCATAATATTTAATTTGTGTATTATATATTTAGACTGCCAGACAAATGCTCCACTACTGAGCTCTACCCCCAGCCCTTAATGTGCTGCTCTTGTTATAATTAACTGAACAGCATTAGAACTCTTTAGAATTAGGAAAAAAAAATCACCTTTTTTCTTTTTGGTACCGGGGATCAAACTCGGGTCCTTACACATGCAAGGCAGGTGGTGGAACCACTGAGCTAAATCCCTGGCCCCAAATCACCTATTTTTTTAAACTTACATTTAAAAATAAGAGAATATATTGGTAACATTTCACATCTCAATGCAGAATAATAATAACAATAATAATGTATTATAATTACATACTATAACACAATAATATATTATAATTATTATTCTTATTATTATTTTGTAGACTGCAACCCCACCCCATATTATAGCATTAGGGGATCCAAAGATATTCAACAGCAGGCTTAAATCTTGGTGGAGTATGAATAAGACAGACTTTTTTGGGGAACATTTTGATCTATCCATAAGGGATCTCAGCATTATTATTTCAAATTTCCAGATAATCTACAAGTAATTACTATTCTGAAGTATAAGCATAACATGTGAAAGTTGCTATTCTCTTTCCTACCATGCTTGGATGTCAGAACACTAGAATGAAATGATATTCTAGAGTCTATTCATCCATTGCTGGCTGGCCCATAACAGTCTGGTCCAAATGGAAATAGTTATCCCTGGTTCTTACAGGTGATTATCTCAACCTACACCAAAATCTTTGGATGCTCAAGTCCCTTATATAAAATGGTATATATTTGCATGTAACAGTAATGCATGTACATCTTGCCCTGTACCATTTGTATAATACCTAAAACAACGTAAATGCTATGTAAGAAGTTGTTATACTATTTTATTTAGGGAATAATGGCCAGGAAAAATGCCTGTACTTGCTCAGTGTAGATGCAAGATGCAATTTTCCCCCTTGGGATATGGATGCAGAGTTCCTGGGTATGGAGGCCCACTGTTAACCAGCATCATAAAGGGTTTCTAAAAGGCAGAAAGAGTAAATTCCTCTAAAGTGTATACACAAACACACACACACACACACACACATATAATCTCAAGCACAGTGCCACTGAGCTAAATCCCCAGCCCAAAGTGGGTATAATTTTGATATAACTGTTACCTTTAATTAATAGAGTATCTTATATTACTTGTGTAAAGCATAAACAAACAGATCTCTGAAACTCATTTAAATGAACTGTGCAATCACCAGATTCTGGGAACCTCAGTTTGGTGGTGAGATGAAGTGAGAGACTGGGATATGTTTCTCTCAGGGGTAGAGGCTTTTTATCTTGGATTGTTTAGAGGACAACTGCATGTATCCTAACTGTTTTGAGAGATTCACCATTCTAAATGTGGACCAGTTTACAAATGGTTTAGTTTTTTAATGTGGCTAAAAATCCTTGCTCATTAT